AAGCCCTAAAAAAAGAACAAGATGAGTTATCTCTAGACATTGGTGGAATAAGAACAATCTACCCTAAAGGTTATCTGGACTCAAAAACACCTGAAGAATGATAGGAAGTACAGCATTTTGATTTTAACCAGAAGGATGAAAACATTATGCTGACTCTAACTATTATAATTAATAGAGTCAGTAAAATGAGTTCAAACTATTACCGTATCTGGTGTTATCACTGTTTCACCAAGATTCTTTGAAAAGGTATGAATCCAATCCAATAGGTCTCATGTTATTCCAGTTAACGTCATCATGTCCAGTGAGGTCAGAAAACATGTAGTTCATGTTTCCATCCATTACTGTTCAAGATTTTAATCTAAAAAATGTGGATTGATACAGTACTTCTGCTTTTTCTTCTTTTATGTGCCATGTCCCTTCAGGACGTGAGCGATCACGGTTCTCCACATCTTCCTGTCATTTGTAGCTCTTAGTAATGTTTGTCTTTTTTGCTATCTCTTCTAAACCCTATTCTACCGACCATTTACACAAGCTCATTAGGTAGGTTCATGCTGTGTCCTTTTAGAACGTGGGTGGTCACAGTTCTCCACAACTTTCTGCCCTTTGTAGCTCTTAGTAATGATTATTTTTTGCTATATCACCTACACTCTGTTCTGCCAATCATTTACAGAAGCTCATCAGGTAGGTTATTTGCTGCATCTTTCAGTCCCTACTGTACAAGCATATAAACTCTCTCAGCAAGACAATGCATAGTGTCAGATTGGTTCATAGAATACAGCAATGATTCACCAGAACTCAGTCCCATTGAGCACCTTTGGTATGTGGTGGAAAGGGTGATTCAAATCCAGGATATGCAGCCAACCAATCTGGAAGAATTGCAGAATGTCATAACAGCATGGATCCAAATTTCAAAAGAATGCAATTCAAGAAGAATTGAAGGCAAAAGGTAGTCCAAATAGGTACTAAAAGAGTATACCTGATAAAGTGGCTGGTGAGTGGATATTACATACTAAACAATAATGTGTGTGTATATATATATATATATATATATATATATATATATATATATATATATATAGTTACCACTGTTATATAATGGCTCTGTAAATAAGAATATAATATTGATTAATGAAACCAATCTCAATAAATATTTATCTGTGCAGGCAGTAGAAGTCATAAGGTGTTGCACCTATTGCCAGCCTTGACAGAGTGCCAGTTATTGATTAATAAAGTGTCATTAACACTTTCAATCTTAATGAATGCATGAAACTTTCAGTAAGCATTCCACTTTAGATAAAATCTTTTTTTTAACCCATATCCTGGTATCAGTTTAGAGAAATACCTTTATTCCATATATATATATATATATATAATAATTACTTCAAAGATTATTTTTAGTGGATACCTGTGTTTGGAATGTCTGTGTACTTCATTATTGTTTGTTTCTATCCTAGAATAGAAAAATTGATGAACTAATGGGCACTATGAAGGAAGATGCAACATAAACTGCATATGAACATGGCTTCTTCAGGTAGAGGGTAATTGTTAGCAAGCTAGTAGTTCGGCCATTATTTCTACATGGTGATCCTCACTGGGTGCCCTATATTTGTGTCTTTCTGACAGAATTAAGCCAATCATAGGAAATATTACTAGCACAGACATATACAGAAAAATTATCCTCTTGGTATCAGTTTAAACTAATACATTCTTTTTTTCCCCATATATCTAAACTACAATTATAAATTATAATTTTGGAAAATGAAAATTTCACTGAAATATGTTGGGAAATTTCCAACTTTTCAACTGAAGTCAAGAAAACATGAACTTTAATCAAAATTATCCAAATATATGAAAAAAAAAGGTGTCGGTTGCCTTCACAGAAATAAATTTGGGAGACTATGTAAAATTGTTTTTGGACCAATGAAAACCTTGTCTTCACAGAAATTAGCTGATGAGCCAAAAAGAAGAAAGAAGAGAAAACAGTGAGCATATGTGAAATTCCTTTTGATATAACATAAGGAGAAAAAATAAATTAATAAGAGAGGAGTGTTTGAAGTCATGTAAAATGTTTCATTTCTGTTTACCGTGTCCATCATTGAAGTTCTTACCAGTGTCAAATTAATCACCAATTATATTATTGGCTTTTAACCAAGCATGTGAAACTTGAAAGAATTTTCTTTCAATAATCCCAGAAAGTATTTAAAACATATATCACTTCTGTGAGCAATCACCCCTCTTACCTTTGTTTTAAACATTTTTGAATATTATTTGGTGTCAGATCATTTCATCTGATGTATGAATATTTCCTCTTCATGACAAGTTGTTAAAACTACAAACTTTAAAAATTTCTTAGTTATTTTCCTGAAACAAGCTACTGATACTACCTCAAGCATGTAAATTCATAAATTCCTTATTTTGTTTTGTTAAAATTTACCTGTGTGTTTCCTCATCATTGCCATTCTTCATTAATCTTCTTGGTGTGAGTAAATCAACTGTTCATTTTAGCCCTGAAGCCCCATGCCACTATAATGGTCTGTAAGTTAAAAGTCTCTGTAGAATATGTACTTGTGCTTACAGTTACTGGCTTTTAATAAATTAATGTGTAGTTCAAAGGTTGTTGTCACCTTAAACGATGTCCCATTGGGAATAACTACTGTGAAATTTTAGGGTATGTTATTCTGAACAAATTATAAAATAGCAATAATACCATATCTCATAATTGCCCAAGTTATAAATATTAAAAACATAGACAAAACAACTATGAAAGACAAACAATCTAATTGAAATACTACACAAAGTTTTGGTGTTATTTCTTCATATATTCATTACAAAATAAACACTTTATAAACCCTGTGGATACCAGTTTTTTCTTTAAGGTTTAAAACTGTTTCTTAAGTGTTTCTTCAAACATTTCAGATGTTTCTTGTTAAAGTTTGCATAGAGTAATCAGTAATCTTTTTTTGGATTATTTTATTTGATTAGATTAACTTTTAGTAAAACAGATAATTACTGAATGATTAAACGATCATTAAGAATGTAGACATTTGAAATTAAAAATGGATGTCTTCAATGATATCAGTCAGTTTTTTCCCTGTGATCTGTGAGAGGTCTGATGAAATATCTGGTCCTTATAATATTTGCACCCATATACTGGGATATCATCTACATATATATTTACTAAAGGTCTGACAGTGTTCTTGGGCAGATCATTGACATAAAGCAGAAAGAAAGTAGGACAGAGAAGAGACTCTTGGAGGATATTGGCATTGATCTCATGTTCCTCAGAGGGCTGGTCATTAACAATAAAAAGTTTAAGTATGGGAAGAAATAATATACTCTTCAAGTAACACCCTTTAGAATTGAGTCAAGCATTTTTCTGTATCTACTATTATGTTAGTACATGATATATAAATAAAAAACAATTTATCAAGTAGTCAGGATCCAAGCAGTCCACATAATGATATGAGTAACATTCATTAAGAGATCTTTCTGTGTTTATTATTGTTGTATGAAAACTGTATTCAGAAGAAGAAACTAGATTTTAAAAAACGATTTTTGTAAATAACCACAGCTATTATTATAAATTTTGAATTTGCAATGATAGTGAAATAAATAAATAAAAATAAATAATAACAAGAAAACCCAAATTTTACCATCTCTAAAAAATAGATGGATAATCAGAATCGCTAGATCACAAAGCCATATTTCAACTAACCAATCAGAAAACTTTCACAACCAGGATATAAGAAAAGAAATAAACAAATAATAAAAAGAAAAAAAATTCACCATCCCTAAAAATAGATGTATATTCAGAATCACCAGGCCACAAAGCCATAGTTTGACCAACCAATCATAAAGCTTTCATAATCAGGATATAAAGCTGTGAGCCAATGAGAACCAAAATGACCTTTTCAAAGTAGATCTCTAGATGTGTATATAACCAGATGTAAAATCATCAAAAACTACAATTGATAAATAAATTTTGTCTATTCTTTGATGATATGGTCACCGTAACATACCCAGAGAAAATATGACATTTTCATGACTAGCTGGTGACTTTAATATAATCGATGCTGACCAGGCATCTCAACTTCAGTCACTTTCTCACCAATGTGATGTGGCTTCCCTCTGTCTTTTCTACAAATATTTCCATGGCAGTTATTCTGATAAGCTTTTTTCCCTGGTGCCTTGACTATATGAATTTAAGTATGCTACTACATTGGCAACTAAATCCCACTGTTTTACTGTTGAACTAGCTAATACAACCACCATTTCTACTCTAAAAGTTTTTTTCCCACACTTCTTACCTGTGAACTCCCTTCTGACTTCGTGTTTCCCTGATAACTACAATCTTCAAAAATTTATATGCAATGTCAACTGCCATCTTCTGGATGAGGTCGGCATTTGGTCATGTGATAGTGTTACCATAAAATTGAGTAAAAAATAGGCAAGTATTTCTGTTTGAATTTTGGAGATGAGGAATTATCATTATTATCCACTGATTTATTCAAACTGTTATCCTGATCTTGGTTGTGAAATTCATAATAATAGTGTTTTCATTTTTCCATAGGTTATATGCATTCTGATTTTATATATGATCTGTAATGGAAACAGAATGAGCCTTTTCCCAATTTCAACATCATCATCATGTCATCCATTATAACTAATGAGCTTTTATGCATTTATGTAATAGCATTATCCCATTTATCATAGCTATTGGGCTGTGTTGAAATCTTTTACAACATGTGGACTGTTAATTGAGTCAGATTATATAATTCCTTATGGTATTTTAAGTGGTCTTTATCTAATAAAGTGTCTCTATATCTGTCTGTTGCCAGGTGAACTTGGAATTCCTTGATTTAAATCAAGCTTAGTAAATATGTAGTCTGATGGAGAATAAATGAAGTTTATTAATAAATAAAAGTCAATCCCCTCCTAATTGTTTGATTAAAACAGATGCATATACATATTTATGATCATGCATACATACATACAAACAT